CCCCCCTGCCCCCTTCCCCGATCTTCCCTCCCCCTCCCCGCTTTTTTTTCCGAAGACACCATGTCGAGCAAGGCCGAGACCCTGCTCCGGGTAAAGCAGCTGCGCGCCGAGGCGGACGCCCTTGAGCAGTCGATCCAGACGATCACTCCCCTGGCCGCGATTGGCAAGCACTTCGATGAGAGCCCCGCCACTCCCCTGCTGTCCACCGACCTGGCCGCGCAGCTGGAGCAGCAGGAGCAGCTCATGCTCAACGAGCTGAAGTCCTACGCCTCCCGTGATGTACCTTGCCCTCGGTCGCATGCCCCTGCGCGCCCTCTCCCCTCCCCCCTGCTTCCGGCCCTTTCTGACATATTCCCCCCTGTGCCTCCCCCCGCGACCCGCGACCCGCGACCCGCGACCCGCAGATGATCAAGCTCACCCCCCGGACGGAGGTCCTGCCGGCGCTGTCGACCGAGGGCGAGCAGATCCTGGCCGCCGGGTTCACCCCCGACCTGGACATCCTCCGCCAGGTGGTGCAGGAGGGCAGCTACGACCTGCCGAAGCCCAACCCCGTGGCCGGGCAGCTGCTCAAGAAGAAGGTGGTCGAGCTGCAGGCCGGGAAGCTGATGCTCCCCGGCCGCGAGGCGGCCGAGCCTGTGCGCGAGCTGCTCAAGGCCCAGCTGGCCGGTGACGCGGCGGCCGCGGCCGCCGGCGCTGCTGCCCTGGACGCCGACCTGGCCAAGACCTTCGCCCTGCTGTCCGCCGAGCTGGCCACCCAGCAGGAGTACTTCCAGCATCTGACCGCCATCTCCAAGGGGGACCACTCGGCCGTCAGCAAGGACATGATCGCCGTCTTCACCCGGCGCAAGTGGGCCGCCAACAAGAAGGTCACCGTCCACCTGATCGAGAAGGGCCCGCAGTTTGCCCTTGAGGTCCAGGTCCAGGCCAAGCCCGTCCTCACCAAGAAGGACCTGGACAAGTGCGCGCTCTCTCTCTCTCTCTCTCTCCCCTCCCCTCCCCCTTGCCCTCTCCCTCCTTCGCTGGCTTCCTCCCGGCCCCGTGCAGCATGCCGTCCTGAGCCGGCGCCCTTTTGTGCACGCCCACGCCGCCGCATGCCAATTGACCAGGCGACATATACCCCCCTCCGATGAAATGACGCCAGCTACATTGCCGGGCAAATGGCCCCCTCCCGCTCGCTGAACATCGACTATGTCCGCGGCCGTGTTCCGCAAACCGGCCATCTGCACCCGCTGCTCAAGGTCCGCGAGGAGTACCGCAAGATCTTCCTCAACATGGGGTACGTACGCCATGTCTACCAGGGGGGGGGGGGGGGGAGGGCGGGGGCCGGAACCCTCCTTCGCCTCCCCTCCCGCCCACACGCGGAGACACCCGCACACACCCACACACACACACACACACACACACACACACACACACACACACACACCCGCCCACTGCCACTGACCCAATGGCCCCCCGCTCGCAGCTTCACCGAGATGAAGACCAACAACTTCGTCGAGTCCTCCTTCTGGAACTTCGACACCCTCTTCCAGCCGCAGCACCACCCGGCGCGCGACGCCCATGACACCTTCTTCGTCCGGAGCCCGGCCAAGGCTGCCCTGCCCACTTCGGCCGAGGGCCCCTGCTATGTGGAGGCCGTCAAGAAGGTCCACTCCGAGGGTGACTTCGGCTCCATCGGCCACCGGACCCCGTGGAAGGAGGACGAGGCCCAGAAGAACATCCTCCGCACCCACACCACGGCCGCCTCTGCTCGCGCCCTGAAGGAGCTGGCCGACCAGGTACGCGGTGGCCACCATGCCCGCATCAGTCCAGCCCTCCTCCCCGCCCGCCGCCCCCCTGGCTGACCTCGCTCATGTCGACCGTTGCCGCCGCCGCCGCCGCCGCCGCCGCCGCCCCTCGCGTCGCACCATGGCCCGGGGGGCGTCCCTTCAGGGTGAGTTCCGCCCCGTCAAGTACTTCTCCATCGACCGCGTCTTCCGCAATGAGACCCTGGACCATACCCATCTGGCGGAGTTCCACCAGATCGAGGGCCTCATCGCCGACCGGAACCTCTCGCTGGCCCACCTGCTCAGCACGCTGAAGGAGTTCTTCCGCGCTCTCGGCATGAAGGACCTCCGCTTCAAGCCGGCCTACAACCCCTACACCGAGCCCTCGATGGAGGTGTTCGCCTTCCACCCCGGCCTGAAGAAGTGGATTGAGGTCGGCAACTCCGGTGTCTTCCGCCCGGAGATGCTTCGTCCCATGGGCCTGCCGGAGGATGTGTCTGTCATTGCCTGGGGCCTGTCGCTCGAGCGCCCGACCATGATTCTCTACGGCATCGACAACATCCGTGACCTGTGCGGACACACCATCGACCTGAAGCTGGTCAAGACCAACCCCTTCTGCCGTCTGAAGCCCTCGGACGAGGAGGCGGAGGAGACCTCGACCGCCGCCGCCGCCGCTGCTGCTGCCTCGCAGTAGATGAGTGCCCTTTCTCTGCCCCGCCTCCTCTCTCGCCCTCCCCCCCCCCCCTCTGCGGGGGGGGGGGACCGGGGGAGACGCGCCAGGACCAAGTGCGGGGCGGGGAGGGACGCCTCCCCCCCTCTTGTGTCTCTCCCACCCACCCATTCGCCCACACATACACACACTTATATATATATATATCCCTATGTGCATATATGCCTACACATGTCACCTCCCCCCTCCCCCTTTTTCAGGGACTCCTGGCGTGCCCGCGTGTGTACGTGCGGGCGGGTGGGTGTGAACAGGTGGAGGGGGCGCGCCTCCCCTCCATGCTCAGAGGGAGGAATGTCCCACACATGCGCGCACACATACGCGCACACGCGGCCATGCTCAAGGCCGGCTGCTGTCAAGAATACCAAAAAACAAACCCGGTGCCAAGACGCCCCCCACCCCGAAGACATCCAAATCCAGACCCCCCGGCGAGTGGGTGGCGTGTGGGACGTAGAGGGGGGTATATTGCGCGTGCCAACTCGCTCGGGCGCGGGCTTCCACACGGCCGGCGCGGGGGAGAAAAGAGGTGATGCACCCACTGGGGAGTCTAAACATGCGCGTGTAGAGAGGGAGGGGGGGGGGGGGGGGAACCCATCGCAACAGCCGGATGGGTGACGAGGAGAGCGACCACCGCGGGCTCGCCTCCGACAGGCGGACCGGGTGCCCGTCAGAAGACCAGTGCCATGATGTCTTCGCATTCGCGCAGCACGCGGGCCATAGGTACCCGGGCCGAGCGCGACAGGCCCCCGGTGCCCTTCTCCAGGTCCGGCAGATCGGCCGCCGCCGCCGCCGGCAGCCGGCCGTCGCCCTCGCAGCACACGTGCACAAGACCCAGGAGGCGCGTGCGCACCGGCGACGCGGGAAACACAAAGGACGCCCGGGGCCGGTCGCCACGAAGGACCCTCTCGCGGATCTGGGCCGAGCTGAGGCCTGGCATCCGAAGAAGGGGAGACACGGAGAAGCAGACGCCGGGCAGCAGGAGGGAAGGCAGCCGACAAGGGAAAGGTCAGCAGACCGAAGGCAAATGACATGCGAGCGAGAGGGAGGAGCAGAGGGAAGGGGCTCGCCGGCTGGCGAGCAGGCGAACACGCACCCTCCCACGCCGGCCGGCTGGTGAGCAGCTCCCACAGGAGGATACCGAAGGCGTAGACATCGGCATCTGGGGCCAGGGTCGAGGGGAGCGGCGCGGTCGGGGTGTTGCGCCAGTGCTAGGGGGGGAGGGGGAAGCAGGGCAACAGGCTGGTGTGAGAGAGCGAGGCACCATGAAAGCACGGGGGAGAGAGAGAGAGAGAGGAGAGAGAAGAGGAAAACAGACGAGAGCGGCGGCTGGCCTTCGCCATGGGCGCACCTCCGGCGCGGCATAGCGCGGCAGGAACCCGGCCACAATGACCTCCAGTGGCTGCTCCACCGCGATGCGGATATCGCTGTCGCCGGACAGGTGCGAGGCCAGGGACCCGGTGCTGGTGGAGCTCCGGAAGGTCCGGCGCACGGCTCCCAAGTCCCCGACCACCGCCCGGTAATACGGCCGGCCAAATTGATCGCAGAACACCTGCTCCGGGGCATTCGGATCGTCATCCATCGAGGCAAAGCCCCCGGAGCCGGAAGTGGCAAAGGAAGAGGCCACGCTGCTGGCCGAGGAGGAGGTGGCGATCGGCGCAAACCCGTCGAAGCTATTGCACCGGCTCCGAGAGGAGGAGGAGTGCCCGCCGCCGCCGGCGCTGGAGCCGCCCTGGCGACTGCCCCCCTCCGGCGAGTGCAACACCGGGAAGAAGGGCGCCGAGAGGTAGATATTGTCGGCGGCCAGGTCCCCATGGGCGAAGCCCGCCGCATGGATGGCCTCCAGCCCGCGGGCGATGTCAAAGGCCAGGATGACCACCTGCTCCAGGCTGAAGGAGGCAATCTGCGATAGATCCAGCCCGCCGGAGCTCGGGACCACGCCCAGCGGATGGACCGGCGCTCCGACATGCGTCAGGCCGCCCCCGATGCTGGCGCTGCCCATGGAAGACAGCGACTCCGAAGCGGACATGGCCCCCTGCAGCTGCTGCGGGTGAAGATGATGGAACAGCCCGGAGGCCCGGTGAAGCCCACGCTCGGCGATCGGCGGCAGGGGAGTCGACAGCGAGGTGACCGTCGGGCTGGGCAGCGAGGAGGTCGAGTGCGAGGAAAGCATGCGCCGAGCTCCCGCCGAGCCGGGCCCCCCGGCCGGGGGGGAGGATGCCCGGATGCCGGGGGCCGTCCCGCCGGCGCCCGGGGAAAGTGGCGGCGCCCCGGCCGTCACCCCGCCCACGGTGGCCGCCGGCCCGGGGCCACTGCTGGAACTGCCCCGCCGACCGGGCGACGGAAGGGGAAGGTGTGCCGCCGCGCCGGGGGCCGCATTGCCGGATCCCCCGGCCGCCGGGCCGAGGATCGGCGTGTACAGCGGCATGGTTTGGCCGGTGATCGCGCGACCCGACCCCCCGGACGCGGTGGGCTCATGGTGCGCGGCCGTGGATGACCCGCCGGCTGCCGGGCCACCCGCCCCGGCACCCGTGGCCGAAGAGCCACCCGGGCTCGCCGGCCCGACCGACTCCAGCTCCGCCAGCAGCTGGTTAATTGACAGCGGCGGCGGGGCGCCACGTCCGACACTCGGCCCGGGCATGCCGGCCGCCAGGCTGGGGAGCGAGCTTTCCGAGCCGCTGACCCCGGCCCGGGGCGCCCCGGCGGCCGCCGACAAGTCCACCAACCGCCCGGCCGGATCGCTGGCGCTCGGCGGGAACAGATAGCTGGCCAAGTCCGTGTGGTATGCCAGCATGACGATGCCGACCTCGAATTCGGTCGAATAGTACCCCACCAGCTTGGAAATGTTGGGCCGCTGATCGAGCGACCACATGGCCGCAATTTCCTGCATATAGATGGCCCGGATTTGGGCCATCTGCTCGGCGGAGTCGGCCCAGGACACCGTGTCGAAGGTGCTGTCCGGCTCGAGGCGCGGGCTGCGGATGACCAACGACGCGTGGGGGAGCCCCAGCGGCTCGGTCGCCTCGCCGGCCGCCAGGGCCGGGTGGATCCACGCACGCTTGACCACCACGGCGCTGGTCTTGAAAAGGGCCCGCATGGCGGGGATGGTTAAGTTGGCCCGATAGACGGCCCCCTGCGACCCGATGGCCAGCGGCCGGCCCAGGGAGAAGGAATCCCGCGGGTCCAGCCGGAGGAAGGCCGGCAAGACCGGGTCCGCCGGGTGGAAGGCATGGTGCGGCCGGTCATTCGGCGATTGGAAGAATGGCAGTGGCCCGGCGGCCAGACTGGTGTCGGAACCGTCGGCCGCGTCCTTGTCCATCGGCTGGACACCCTCAACCGGCGAGAGAGCCTCATCATCGTGGTCATCGGCCGATGAGGCCGACTCGCTGGAGTGCAGCTCCTTCAGTTCGATTCCCGAGTGCATGGCATCCGGCAGCGAGTGCAATGAGGCGTCGCTCATGATGAAGGTGCCCTGCCGGTCCCGGCGGTCCGGCGACATTTGCGCCTCGGCCATGCTGCTAAGGCGGCTGCATGCGTGCGCGCACGGCGCAGGGGAGGGACCAAAGGAAAGGAAAGGGGGAGGGGGGGCACGGAAAAAGGGACATGGAGACGGAGCGGGTCAGATACACCGGGCGCCATAGCCGGCGAAGAGGGCGCAGGGGGGG